TTAAAGCAACAATTACATAAATAATTACCGTGAATGCAAATGTATAACCATGGTTAATGCCTCCATACAACGTAATAAGCAAATATACATAAATACAAGTAAATAACGCTTTACATTGTCACTTGTTAACATTTACACTGTACAGTAACGGAGAACGCAATAACGGGGAAATAACGACGTCAAAGACTACTTGGATTTGCTTGTTGACCTAGTTCCATACGACGAACGACGATGTTCGTTGTAGCACACGATTTAATCTCTCGATATTGGTTTGACAATCGTCTAGAAATTTTGTCCAGATGACGGTTTGACAAATGAGTTACAACACAGCTATAGAGACTCGGCGACTCCACCATGTTGGATACTATAACTGGTAGAAGCGCATGTAGTTGGTAATGATATTTTCTACCCAAAGTATCCGGGAGCTGATGTGAACTGTGGCAGCCTGCTGCTGGGAGACGTGATTCTTTTGTTTCACGCCACGTGACGAGTTAATTTATTCAGGAAGGTTTCGTTTTCAGGTTGGTTAGTTAGGGGGTCGTCACCTGCGCATGCGTCAGATAGCCATAGCGTGTCAATGTTTATAAACAAGCGTCTACTTGGGACTCAATTACCGCGATGACTCTTCCGCTTTAAGTTTAGGTTAGGTTACCACGAAATGACCCTGTGACTCATTCAAATATACTAATCATACGTTTCAATATACGACAAATAGTTTCCAATATACAAGTATTTTTTCAATATATTACGAACCATAATTTCCAATACTAGTATACGAACCATAAGTTCCAATATACGAATCATACTTTCCAATATACGAATCATAATTTTCGATATACAAACAATATTTTCCAATATTCGAATCATACTTTTCAATATACAAACCATTCCCTAAGGAAAAAGTTGCCATATATAATATGTGAATTCGGTTTTCCCTAGTTTTAGTGAGCTCACCATTAATATTAAAACAACAACCACCAACAATGTTACATTGTATATATTAACAGTAACGCACACGTGTTTCTAAATGTTAAAAGCCGTAAAGATGAATTGAGGATTGTATAAAATATGAAACTATTTCATTAAAATCAGATCACAGGGAGTAAAAATCCCAACCGTTACACTGTGTTAACACCCCACAAATATACAACAAAACCACTAAATCTATTATTTAAGTATTCAACATAACAAGCAACATATTCCAACGATGTTGTTTCATTTCATGGCGCGAATACAATGTTTTAGATGTCACGTTTGAGGCCTGTTGATTTTAGAGACATAAACAGTCGCGGTTGTAGCTATTAAGTGGTGTCAGTATGAACTCGCGTTTGCTGTGGTATATACATTTTTTAATAAGGTACTATGTTTAACCTACATAGGAATCGATGTCAAAAGTGAACTAAGCGCATGTTATGAATCATGAATCGGAAATAACCAAGACTCGTTCAGCGGGGGAAAACCATGTTATTTCCTATCATGCCGAGTTCGATGTAGTGCACAAATATTTCATCATTGTGTAGACCAGGTAACGGAAATAAGTTTCAAAAAATCATTCAAACCCACTATGTAGTCTTTTTAACAAACCTGTATGGTTGCCGTTTGACGACGCCTCTGCTTTTATTATGTACGACAAGCTAATACGTAAATGAAAAGTGTATTATTCAAAGTTGTCTTCTTTACAATGTAAAGAAGTGGAGTCACATTTATAAATAGTATTTAATAATGCACTGATATAATATTACCCCAATAATGAACACATAGATTGAATTGAGCTCATGGATACAGGATACTGTTCCGTAGGACTATTAATAGTTGTTTGCAGTGAAACATGTATTTTGGTATCATACAAACGTAGCGTAATACACGACTATTACTAACTGTCTTGCTATATTAGGTTTTAATTTCTTTGAAAAATCTGTGCACCCATTTCTTTCTTTCTTTCTAATAATTCTATGTAAATAGATGTAATAGCAGTACAGACGACGCATAATATTTGAAGATGTGTGTGAGATATGACTCGCTGAACTGGGAAACCTTTCCAGCTCCACTAAAACATGAGTTCAATTTAACAATTTCCTTTTAGTTTATACCCTAATGCATGGGTTAACATTGTACAGTGTAGCAAAGCGAAGCAAAACGTCAGTATGAATGAGAGGACCCATTTCATTATGCATTATCATCTAATAAACATTTCTAATACAAAATCTATGATGGGAGGAATAGATTACGTCATTACTTACATTAGGTGAATAATTTACTGGAATGTGTAGTAACGAGGTACGATAAGTTAGTTTTCCAGGAGTTATTAAATGCGTGTATACGGTGAGAACGTGACATTACCCAGTTAATATATTATATTATATTATTAAGAACGACTCAATGTTCAGTGCGCTCCGCCTGTTCAATACACGAGTATATTCTTCCGTGTTGAAAGACTTAACGATCCGCCTATGCGTAATGAAGGTGGTTTCCGTAATTTTTCTTCTCACTACCCTGGCAGTATGGAAAATTGTTACGCACTTTCATCGACATCGAGTGTGTTTTTTGGTTGCTACGTTACTAAGCGCGCTCGCGACAAAAAGAAGGATAGTCGATTTTGTACACAGTTATTGGTGAGCCCGTTTTCTGTTTTTTTCCCAATCTACATCTTTATACTTACTCCCAACTTAATATTATTTCTACTGTTTCAAAGGGGAAGAAACTTCAATCGACACGCGCATAGTAGTTAAACACAAAGGTAACAAGAAACTAGTATATGATCCAATTATTCAAAAACGAATTCTACTGTAATAATCTATGAACATTCGTTATCAAATGTGTTTTCAAAATATTTGAATAGGCTTTGAGACAATCCTATTGATATCAATAAAAAAATGCTGTATATTTTTTAACATAATATATTATTGTAATACCATTGTTGTAATGATGATGCAATTAGTGAATACCATACAAATTATTCAATTATAATTTGCATAATCTCAAACTTTTCCCCAACCCTGCCATTTATTTTCTCAATGAATCCGTGTATCCGTGTGTTATCTCTCGTCTCTTGTAATCAATTATATACTGATACAAACGCTTGCTATTTGGTTTACTGATTTGAACTAGAATATCCTTAATAGTGTATGAACTGCTGCACTTTTAAACATAGAAATGGTGCTAGGAATTGTATCATTCACTTTGTATTACTACATCTATAATAGCATGCTAAGTTACATTAATGCATATTAATGAGGTCACAAGACCCTACAACGATTCAACTCAACAAAGTCCTATGTGAAACTAGCGTCCACTCAGTATGCATTGTTGTCCCATTTTCCCTTGGTCCACTGCAATTCATTAGCTGACACACTTATCCACACAAACAGTATGTATATGTTTAACTTCAGACCGCTTATTGCAAGCTTCTGCTTATTTATTTACTTTGGGATTCCACTGAGAATAAATATCAATACACAGGATCTATATGGACAAATATTATATATCAAGCAGATATATTATAGTGAATACAATCGTGTAGTCATTTAACTAGGTATATTGATGAAATAAGCGCTATTCAACGTTCAATTATTTTCAGTTCGTTGCCAAAAAACGATGGCCTTATCATTAAACAACATTCTGAAGATGTAGCTGTTTCGCTTCGCATATTTTGTGAAACAACAAAACAAAATGATGATGCCCATTGACCGGAAGTGCACTTTTTTCAAACTCTTAGGGCATATAGATTTCTCCCATA